ATCTATCTATCTATCTATCTATCTCTATCTATCTATCTATCTGTCTATCTATCTATCTATCTATCTATCTATCTTGAAGTTAGAAGTTGAGCAAAAGCTACATTAATTGATGATCGGAGACAGCCTCTGGTGATTGTAGATGATCGTACTAAATGGGTTATGTCTTCATACACAACATTTCGCTACCTTAAAATTATAAAGTTCTGTCTGACATTTTTGGCCGTTCTGATGTATTAAGACTGTGAGGTCAGAAACCAAATATTCTATTTGCTCTATCAAAATGATAAGGTTATTCGAAGTAGTTATCAAGATATTCAAAGACTTGCATTCGAAAAAGCTTGACATTTTAATAAACTCAAATATTTTACACCAAAATTCTCAAAACTAGGTACAGAGCAGATATAACTTTGTAATTCTAGTGTAACGTTTAGAACCTCTCCAAAACAGGTAGACTGATACATCCCTAGTAGGGTTTACTCTTGCTGTGTTAGTAACAACGATTTTGGAGGCAATCAGAGATGCTCGATTAGAAAAAGTATTTAAAAAATTTCTCACCGTAGAAATCAAACTCACGCTTTCTACATGCAACGGGCTAGGAGCCAGGTCATTTCACTTCAGACACCGGTAGACAGTTTCGAGGCATGCTGCATCACTATTTTCTATATATCATTATTCATAAAACGTCTTGAATCGCATTTAGATTAACCGCAGAGCGTTAGGGCTGATTTGGAGCACACTGGCAATCTAGCATGTTGGCGTTTTGAGAACATGTCAACACTAAACTTCTCAACCGGTTGGAACCAAAGTGTAAGCTCATTTTCCTCGTTTCACTCAGGTTGGAATGGATACCAGGTTAGAGACATTTAAATATCTTGTCAGTTTCTTAGTGGTTAAAAAAAAAATAATAAAAAAAATAAAATAATAATAATAATAATAATAAATAATAATAATAAATAGTATTTGTATAACGCTTGACCCCACTGGAAAGCAAGTTCTATGCGCTTTGCACTATATATCCCAGCAAACCATAGAACACTCAGAAACATTCTCAGCTTCCCAGGAAGCACACAGTGCAAGTGGCCGCTTAAGCGCTCAAACATTACAAAACTGACAAGATCTTTCACTGTCTAGAGCTGAGTACCCATTTTCACCTGGGTAAAGTGAGGAAAATTCGTGTAAAGTGCCTTTCCCAAGGACACAACGTCGGGCCCGCGGCTCGAACCCCCGAACCCGCAACCTCGCGATTACGAGTCCGGTAGCCTAACCACTATCACTTTAGCACTTCTAATCCTCAGAATTGACAGTCGTTCCGTTCTGAAAACAGCACATTATTGAGCCTGAGAGTGTACTCGCAGCTTAGAACATAATATGTATATTTGCTGAACTACTGGTAAATAATATAATAACAGAAAAAATGCTGTAACGTAATTATTTAGTGACGCGTTGTTGGTTATAATGGAATAGACGTATTCGAATAGAGACTTGAACGAAATAACGAAACGTATTCAAAACTACTTATTATGTAACCCCAGGGCGTAGTGAAGGAACCCAAGCTACAGACATATTATTGCATAAGGTGCACCACATTGTTCTCAACTGACAGAGATGTGAGTTATGTAACATAATAAAGTAACATTAACAATAAATGCTTTGCATATACACAACATTGCAATCTTTGTATTCTATGTCATAATGGTGATTTGCTTTTGTTTTGTTGCTTTTTTCCCTTTCATCTTGTTCCACCTCCCATCCGCTTCCTTTATCCTCGTTGTTTTTCTCATTCTGTCCTTTTTTCCCCCTTTCTTCCCCTGAAGTAGCCTTACATTATATAAAAAATGGGTGTTAAACACTGTTTTCAAACCATAATGAAAAGATTCTTCCTCAATACTTCTTTCAAACTGTCGTTCCCATGAATTTTCCTTTTGCTTACATCACGTCAACTTTTCAAGTGATTCAGAAAGAAGACTGCAGTTTAAAAAAAACTGGAGGCATGGGTGTTTTTTTTAAATAAGCAACAAAGAGTTCGTTTCGTTAAGTGTTTTCCAACGCTCGGGGCACTCAATGTTGCCCCTTCAGAACAAAGACGCTTCACGCTTGACGTGGAATAAAGAAGTTAATAAATAGCTCGTGAGACAGTTTGGGTCATTCACTTCGTATATCTCTCTCTTATCCAGCAACGGCAAAAAATGACGTAACTTACACAGTTGGAACTTCTGACAAATATATTTGGAAGGTTATAGTTCTACCCCGGGAAACTGTGTACAATTATTTTCATTGGGCTGACAGTAAGGTAAATAAAGTTAACTTTGCTTTCTATATCGTTCTACGTCTTTCGGTCTCTTTGTCTGTTATTATGTCTGTTGGTCTATTTTATTTTGTTTGTTGTTATTTTTCTCCGACTCTCTCTGTCTCTGTCAGTCTTATTCAAAATGAACAGTGTAATTGAATGACTCTGTATTTTTCAAAACTTTCAAAAATGGCACCCATTTTTTTCGTTCTTTTCCGGTTTATTCCTTTCTCTATAGTTCGTTTTTCCAAAAAGGAAAAAGAAAGGAGCGGAGGAACATTTTTTTTAAACTAAGAAAATTTTAGAAATCACGCAGAATTATGTTCCAATGTTTTTAAGGTACGATACTAGGTATGATGGGGTATTACGTTGTTAAAAATGGGTAGGGGCTGCGGGTCAAGGGTCGTATTTAAATTATATGTGTTCAACAAAATATGGTCATCATTCGGGGTGTGAGTTTGATAATTTAGGTTTATCTCCCCTCTAAATACTGTAGCCGTAGGAGTATCAAAAATCCAATAGTCATGGCCGAACTTTCCGCCAATCTTCTTTGCACCGGTTTTAGTTTTAGTAGGAGTTTTGCAGCACTTGCAACCCAATAAGGCCATATTAAGTGCCGCTTGCGTCACAGAGCCAACAGAGTAGGGGGCCAATAGAAGACTTCCCAAACAAGGCAAGTTCTGGAAGGCTCATTTTTAGGGATTCAAACTAAAGTAACCCACAGGGGCCGTACATAGTACCAACTTGTAGTTTTCGTGAGTAGTCTTTCGGCTCCCAAGGAAAATAATAAAATAAAATACAATACAATAAAACAAAATAAAATAAATAAAAATAAAAATAATTAAATTAAATTCAATAAAATAATTTTTTTAAATAATAAAAAAAACACACAAATAAAACAAATAAAATAAAATAAAAGAATAAAAAAAAGAATAAGCTTTAAGAATTTAAAAAAAAAGCACTTATGAAACAAAAAGACAATTTAAAGCATTAAAGAGTCGGGCTGTTTCAACTCGTCCGTCACGAAAAGGAAGGATACTTAATAGTACATTGCATAAAGGTTGAGATACTCAATGATGTGTTTTTCCTTTAAGGATGCCAAAATAGTACCTTTTTAAGATTTATATGACACTCTAACCGAAAAGCACCATTGTGTCACGTAAAGGTTACCAACTATACAGGATGATAGAACACAATATTTTTTTTTTATCATTCTATTAATAAAAAGCAGAGAAAATACGTGGGACTGTTATTATGTATATTATCATTTTACTGTGCATAATATAATAACTGGCCACCCAACTCAGAGAAAATGAGGAGCTGTATATTAATATGTTTACTCGAGAATGTGAAACATAATGCATTGGGTAATGTAAACAGACGCAAACAATATCAACAATAACTTCAAGAACAACAACAACATCATCATCAAATACAACAACAACAACAACAACAACAACAATAACAACAACAACAATAACATCTTCACCATCATCATCATCATCATCATCACCATAAACAATCGCAAATACAACGTAATACCCCATCATACCTAGTATCGTACCTTAAAAACATTACAAAATAATTATGTGTGATTTCTAAAATGTTCTTAGTTTTAAAAAAATTGTTCTCTGTTTTTCCCATTTGTGTGTAAATGTTTGTGTATGTGTGTGTGTGTGTGTGTGTGTGTGTGTGTGTGTGTGTGTGTGTGTGTGTGTGTGTGTGTGTGTGTGTGTGTGTGTTTGTGTTTGTGTATGAGGGGGGGGGGGGGGGGGCTTCTATTTACAAAAAAAAAAATTTAACTTCAAAAGTGGCCTGTGGAGAAAGATTTTTTTTTAAATCTGTGAATTGACTTGCGCAGACAGATTTGTTTAAAGAGCTCATAACATTTAAATTGTTGTACAACGGTCATTTTATATTCTTCAACACAAAGCGCGCTTGTGTTTTCAATATTTAAAAAAATATAGATCTAGTTCTTTGACACATCTCTGCAGTACCAACGAAAGCTGGAATGTTACTGTGAAATATACGTTTGTAATTCACATGTGGACCACTCATGAATAGCTTGAAGAACCATTTCTGAGCAAAGTGCTACTTAGTCTGGCGTTTGTGGTGCAGCGGTTAGACGCTCTGCTGTAACACGTTGGGTACTTTTTCGATTCCCGAGTGGGGTGGATTTTTATCGAGTATCTCTGTCTTTCTTCTGGTACATTGTATCCTTCCAAGTCCGGGTTAGCCCTGACAAACAAATCGCCTCCTGAAATGATCTAAATTATGTCGGTCGATGGGGGTATGAAATCAACTACATAAAAAAAGACTAGCACTTTTTGCTTAAAAGGATAATTTGCTTTGTTTTTCAGGTCCTGCCTCACAATGATATCGGAGTACGCTCTCATCCTTGTGGCTCTGGTTAGCATCCTGTTTCTCGCGCTGAAGCTCGACTTGCTGAGCCGCAAAAAGAAGACGACCGTCCCTGGCCCCTCCCTCTTCGAGGGCCTCAAGGATTTGTCACAGAGCCTCGGTGCCAACAATCTCCATATCGTGGCCGCCAAGTGGGCAGACAAATATGGCGACCTCGTGTCGGTGAACGCCGTCATCCGCAAGGTTGTCTTCATTAACTGTCCTGCGCTCGCTCGTAAACTTGTCTCAGACCCGAGTACCAGAGACCTTAGCAACGACAGACCACCCACTTACATAGGGAAAGAAGTTTTTAAAGGGTACCAAGACATTGTGACTGCGCCTTACGGTAAGGACCACTCTAAGAGAAGACGACTCTTTCACAACGCTCTGAAGTTCTACGGTGAAGGGGTCGTGAGCTTTGAAGAGCTGATGAGAAACACAAGCAGACAGTTATCGGAGCGTCTAGCGAAGTACCCCGGGAACGCTCCCTTACTGAAAGAACTCAGTGACTACATCTGCTGGGTGGTTGGGCTGCTGCTCAAGGGAGAAGACACGTCTCAAGACGACCTTGATTCTCTGAGGAAGTTTATCGACACATCAAACGAAGTTTTCATATTTGAGAGAGAAATCTTCCTAGAAACGTTTCCCTACATAGAGCACGTCCCTGGTTTGAAGCTGAAAGAGTTGGTGAAAGGGTTAAAGGAATCCAATAAGGAGATTAAAGATAAGTTCTTGACATCTGTTCGAGAAACCTACAAGAAGGGTGGGAGAACTGGTATCATTACTGATTTGTTAGAGCAACAGGAGCAGTTGGAAAAGAAAGGAAACGTCTCCGATATGTCCGATGAAATTGTGCTGTGTCTTATCTTGGACATCGTTGCCGCAGCCAACGTCACAACAGCTGGAACCCTAACGGCTTTGTTTTTGTTGCTAATCGTAAACCCTAAGATACAGGAGCGTATCTATGCAGAGATCTGTGAAGTTATCGGTAATGACCCTCCAAGTTTTGACCACAAACGTCAGATGCCTTATACAGAAGCGGTGATCCTGGAAACATTAAGGTATTCTTCAGTAGCGCCTTTCCTTCTACCCCACTATGCCACTGATGATATCAACTTCGAAGGTCATTTCATTCCTAAAGGAACCTTCCTTCTCCTGAACTCTTGGTATTTCCACCGCAGAGAAGATTTGTGGGATAAGCCCTGGACCTTCAACCCAGACAGATTCCTAGACGCTAACGGCCAACTGCTGCCAACAGAGCACCCAACACGTCAGAACCTTGTGGCGTTTGGAACCGGCAGACGTGCTTGCCCCGGGGAAAGTTTCGCGAGGGTGCGCATGTTCTTCATCGTGGTCACTTTGGTCCAACAGTTTCGCTTTCTTCCTCCTGTTGGCGAGGAGCTCCCGTCAGCGAATCCGGAGACTTGGGAGACGAAATCTGTGATGTTGCCACATGACTACTCTTGCCGCGTGGAGCGTCGATCGGCAGCAGAGAATGAAATGTAGAACTCAATGCTTCGTAGTAGTGGGTGAAGGGGATGTTGGGATTTAATGTGGTTGGTTGCGGGGGGGGGGGGGCAGGTGATGGGGGAGAGAAAGGAGATTTAATGTTCTGCTCTATGCTGAGTGCTGAAGGGTGGAGGGGTTGGGAGATGTTCGTATTGTGAGGAAGCGAGGCGAGGGGGGGGGGTAGTATGTAAAATATAGAACTCCATGCTAAGTAGTTGCAGTCGGTGGGGGCATTTTGGGATTATGTGTTTGTGTGCGTGGGGGCGGGGGCAAGCAGGTGAAAATGAAAACTTTAGGCTTAGGAAGGAGTGTGGTGGTGAGATTTGGATTGTTGTGGTGGATTTGGAAGGGGGGGGGGGTGATCAGGTGAAATGGTGGTGCTCCTCATCAAGATATAACGATTCCCCTTTTCACAAAACAACATAGATAAGTCTTGCACTTACTCTCAGAAAATGAAAGATGTTCGTCTTATTTGAAGTCTCACATCAGTTTTCTCACTTGACTCGACAGGAGGAAGGAAGAAGAACAAGTTTTATTTCAAATTGCACACTTTTCCAGAGAGGAAAGAAAAAAGGAATTTGCTCAAGTCTTAGGCAACTGTGGGGCAAGACACAAAACAATGGCTTCCCATCTATAGCTCATGCTACTTTAGTTTCGAATCCGCATGAGGATGAGGTTAGGTGGAAGACCACAAGACATCGTAACTTGATCCGTGAGGCAGCATATCATGGGGATACAGGATATATATGTTTTTTAATATTTTTTTCTAGCAGGAGGGGGTTGACGTTAGAAATTCTTGTTGTTTTGTTTCAGGGGAGAGGATTGGTGTGTATATAGTATATACAAATGAAATAAGTTTTTAATCTTTGGCTTTCAATTTCCGAAAGTGCTCTTGGCCAGAATGAAAGGTTCCATTCGTGGTGGAGTGTCCTCAGAAAGGGTAGAATAGGGATCTGACTGATGTAATATTTGAGCGCTGAACTCTAACTGTCTTGCCGTCCCTTGTCATCTAGTGGGGCTTAATAAATTTATTAACATTTTAGAGGATAAGGAATTTTAATGTTGGGGATTTTTTCTTGTAATCGCCAAACACAATTTCTTTTTTGTTGCATAATGCACATGTACAAGGTATTAGTATTACTTTTAAGAAAACCTTATTGTTATTGTTATTGTTGTTGTTGAAAATGCTGTCTTTTTTTAAGAAGAGGGTCTTTGTAATAATTATGTGGTCTACAGTACTAGGAATATCTCAGGATACGTGATATGATATCACATATATGTTTACAGCAGTTAATAGTAGGGCAATAAACACAAACAATTATAATATACTCACTTGGTCGCCACCCTCCCCCCCCATGTACTATTTTGGCATAACTTTATTAAATGGTACTGACTCTGGAGACGATTTTTCCCAGTAATATTTTGCTCACTCTATGCAAGGGAAAAGTTGTGCCCTACCCTCAGAACAGTCTATGGGGAACTAGTTATGCACCAATCGAAGAAATGCAATAATACCAAAATAAACCATGATTATTGTTCTCAACTATTAAAATTTGGTCGTCGTCGTCCTCCTCCTCCTCATCATCATCGCCATCATCATCCTTATTATTATTATCATCGTCATCAGCATTGTCATCATCATCATCATCATTATCATCATCGCCATCATCATCATCATCATCATTCGAAAGGAGTTATTTGGACAAGTGAAGGTGCCGCTAAGCATATTGACAATGGAGCTGAAAAAGAGCCCCGCTCTCGCTCGAAGATTTCTTCCTGGAGTCCACCAGACCATTAAGGAAACAAACAAAAAATCATCATCTTCATCATCTTCATCATCATCATCAGCATCACCACCAGCACCACCATCATCATCATCATCTACATGTATTTCCAAACAGTTTCCATGTACAGCTACTGCCATGTGGACAAACTTTCTACGCAACACAAAATGATCCACTCCTCACATCTGTGTGAAATTTGTTATCAGCTGAGACGTATAAAATATTTTTGTCATTTTCGGTCACGGTTACAAAGATCAAGGATACAACTAGACAAAATATCTAAATCATGAAGCTCGTTAATTGTATGAATTCAACAAAAAACACGTTTTATAATGTCTATCATGCTACCGACTCTTACCCATGGTGATGTATGTCTTTAACAGCAGTTTCTTTTCGTTGCACATTGCTTTATGTGGCTAAAATGGTGAAACGCACGCATTACACACATACACAAACGCACACGCACACACACATACACACACATACACACACACACACACACACACACACACACA